GTGGCAGCGTGTGCCTGTAGTTCTGGCTACTCGAAGGGCTGAGGTGGAAGGATCGCTGGAGCCCAGCAAGTTGACGCTGGGGTGGCCGTGAGTATGCCATTGCACTCCAGCCTGGGTGATGGAGTGAGACTCCAACTCAAAAGAAAAAATATATATAAATATTTTTAATGAAAAGATACACATTTATGTAAAAATAGAGACTAATGTGATGACATGTGTTTTTAAAAGAATATTTTTCCATCTTATAAAATTTCAACCAGAAATAAAAAGTAGTGTAAAGCACCCCTATGTACCCATCGCGCAACCTTGGCAATGGCCAGCTTGCTCCAGTCCTGGCTTGTTGTCACCTCCCCTTCCGCCCCAGTGAGTCATTCCGAAGTAAATCCCAGTGACCTTACCATTCATGTAAAGTGGGTTGGAGCAGAGGGCTGAAGAAGCTGAGGAGACCAAGGAAGATCGTTCCAGACAGTGGAGCAGCGAGACAGGGGGCTGACAGACATGTCGGAGCAGCCGTGAGAAGGCCGGTGTGGCTGGACCGGGGAACTCAAAGGAAACTGGCGGGAGATGGGTCAGGAGTGTGAGGAGGGGATGGCAGATCATGTGGGAGAAAACAACTGCCTCTGGACCTTGGGGCGGTTGGGAAGTTCAGCCGTGAGGATGTGTTCCAAGTATTTGTCTCTTGGGCGTCGGGATCTCGGGTTCCAGGCTGGCTACGTACTGTCTGAGAGAGCTTGGACGAGTCTTTTCCCTTCTTTATGTGGAAAGTGACAGGATTTACGTGGAATGGGTCTGGCCGCTCCAGCTGTCTCAAGCTTGATAACCTCATCTCCAGTCACTGTGCTAAAAATGACCCCATAATTGTCCTCCACAAGAGAGATGCAATGATGAGGTCTCTGAGGCCAAGGCCACTCAACTGGGGAAGGGCAGAGCTGGGGTCTGGACCCCGGAGGTCAGCTGGGTTCACAGTGCATGGCTATACTAGATGCCGCCTTCAGAGTACAGATTCTTTGCCTCATGGAGATTCTGAGGCCAGCACTGTATCATCCTAGGATTCTCTACCTTGACAGGATGGAAGCACGGGCTGGCAGCGGGCCTGAATAAAACCCTGGGGACATGCCCAGGGCCTCTTTTGAGGATTATATGAGATCTTCTCTAAACCTGGGAGATCTAGGGAAGCCTTTCCCCTCCACCTCCCACTCAGTACTGGCTCTTCTGGGCTGCTTGCACTCTGTATGTCTGAGGTCATGTCTAGAAATGTTAACAGACAAGCCTGTCTACGTGGGCCTAGTCTCTTCTCACTTTTCCACATCTGCTCTGATTGGCCATCACAGTACCCTGAGCGTTTCCACTGAATCTATTCATTGTATTTATTTGTGCGACTTTTAACTTCCTCTCCACCATCTGGAAGCTCCTCAAGGCCATGACCCATGGCCATTTTGTTCACTGCGGTACTTCCAGTGCTCCATGTTTGTTGAATGAATAAATGAAGGAAAGACTCCATTTCATGTTGTGACCAAAGACCCTTTTTCCATGGCCCATGGTTAGAAATCACCTCATTAAAAACTGACATTGAAAAGGTCCTTAGGCCAGGTGCAGTGGCTCACTCCTGTAATCCCAGCACCTTGGGAGGCCGAAGTGGGAGGGTTGTTTGAGCCCAGGAGTTCAAGACCAGCCTAGACAACACAGGGAGATCTTATCTCTACAAAATAAAAAATTAAAAAATTAGTTGGGTGTGATGGTGCATGAACTACTCAGGAGGCTGAGGCAGAAGGATTGCCTGAGCCTAGGAGGTTGAGGCTGTGGTGAGCTGTGAGCATGTTGCTGACTCCAGCTTGGGTGACAGAGTAAGATTCAGACAAAATAATAATAATAAAAAAAGGTCCTTATGGGTCAGGGGCAGTTTGTGTAATGGTTATGGGTGTGGACTCTGGAGCCAGATTTCCTGGGTTCGAATCCTAGTTCTGCTCCTCAATGGCTGTGTGACCTGGGTAAGATTGTTAACCTCTCTGAGCCTCAGTTTCCTTAATCGTATAAGGGATTGTAATAAGACTATAATTGTAGAACGTTGTTATGAAAAGTGTACCTGGTGTGTGGTTTTACTTGGACAATAAATTAATTTGTAACTTTGTAGCCAGGGGTCTAACCTATGTCCGGTGGGCTAACCTGGACTGTAATCTGTAGTCTAAATGGCAATCAGTACTCTTATCTATGACCAGTGATCTAACAAATGGCCAGAGAGCAAACGTACAGCCAATGCGGTCTCATCTGTTGTCTAACTTGTGGCCCGTGGTCTGATCGGTGCCCTGTGGGCTGCTCTGTGACCTGTGGTCTTCTCTCCACAGGGCGGAGTGAATTCAAACGATGCTGGAAGGGCCAGGGGGCCTGCCGAACTTACTGCACAAAGCAAGAGACCTACATGCACCTATGTCCGGATGCCTCCCTGTGCTGCCTCTCCTACGCTTTAAAGCCTCCTGCTCCCAGATTTGATTATAAGTAGCTGGCTGTGGGGCTGGCGCCTTTGCTGTCCAATAAAACACTTGCTGCCAGTTGTCTCTTCATTCTGCTTGCTCACCGGGAGAGGGGCAAGGCCCAGGGCGTGGGAGGGATGGTCTGTGGGGGGAAGTGAGGGGCCTGGGGGCGGGCGGTAATGGCTATTGTAAATGGCTCAGGTCTTGGCCGTATCACTTCCTCTCTGTCCAACTCCGGAAAAATCACTCAGCCTCTGTCTGCCCCCTCAGTCCACTCAACCATAAAATGGGGATAATTATGGCATCAGGAGATTAGCACTTGATAGAAGGAATGTAAAAAGAAAGGTGTAGTCATTGACAAGAGTTAATATTATAATGAGAAATGATAATTACGAGCTGGTAATAATAAGAGTGAAAAAAAGTAGAGTCAGTAATAAACTTTTTTTATTTTGAGTTACTCTCACTCCGTTATCCAGACTGGAGTGCAGCGGCACGCTCCCGGCCACCGCGGCCTCGCCCTGCTGGGCTCCAGCGATCCTTCCGCCTCAGCCTTCCAAGTAGCTGGAACTACAGGCGCGCTACCACGCCCGGCTCATTTTTGGTTTATTGTAGAGATGAGTTCTTGCCAAGTTGCCCGGGTGGGACTTGAACCCGTAGGCTCAGGCAGTCCTCTCCTCTAGGCCTCCCGAAGTGCTGGAATGACAGGCTGACCCACCGAGCCCGGCCAGTAATAAACTTCTGACATTCAGAGTGAGATGGCGCCTTTGGTGGGGAAGCAGGCTCTGTGGGTAGTGGGAGGCTTTTTCCAAGTTCTTTTATCTCCTGTTTGAGCATTTCAAGAATCTGCTGTGGTGGACAGGCCCATGAGAACATATGAAAGCAGGTTCTACATATGCAGAGAGAGGTGATAGAGGGAATGCTTGCCTCTTCCAGGCCCGGGGAATATGAGGATAGGAAGGCAGAAGTGAACCTGAGCAGACAGGGGAAGTGGGTAGACATGCGGAGTCATTACCCTGGGGTATTTAGCTGGGAAAAAACCCTCGGAAAACAACTTACAGGGGCTTATTTTTCTCACATACAGCAACGCTGTCAGGGAAAGCATCTCTGGGATCCTCCTGGGTCACATAGGGCTGCCAACACTTCAGGCCTCAAGTCTGTTTGAAGCAGGAAGAGGGAGGAAGAGTTGCTCTGGGCCACTTTTCTCCATTTTGTCAAGAGAGCAAAAACTTTCCCTGGAACCCCTGCCAGCTGGGGAGGGAGCTGAGGGGCCCGGGTTCTGCTTACATCCCATGGCCACTCCTGACATGTAAGGGAGGCTGGGGAAGAAAGGGTTGAGCTTTTCTAGTCTCTATAGAAGACATGAGCTTGAGAGAAAGGGGGCTGGAGAAGACCCTTGGGGTCTGCCGTCTCCTCCCTGGGACTGAGCCTCCAGAGGGACTGGAGTGTTAGATGTGTTGAATGTGATAGATGAGTTGAGGCAAACACCGAGAGCAGAGGGCCTCTTGTCCGTTGTCCTTGGAGACTTTCAGAGAAGGTGGCTGTCCTGGGCGGTCTCGGCCCCAGCCCAGTGAAGACAGTGGACACTGTGGTCGGGCTAAGAGAGAGGCAATGGCGTTCAGAATACCAGGTGGCTGCGGTAGTCTTAGAGGCCTTCGTTTCCGGTGTGAGAGGGACGTGGTTCTGTGCCGGAGACAGTGGGAGTGAAAGAGGGTATCCAGGGGACTTGGGCAGCAGCTGTTGACCGACCTGGATGGAAGCGTCCAATTATTTTGAGTTTAATAAAACAAACCTGGGTATCGGTCTGCTTCCCTTCCTTCCTCCATTCCGTGGGGTCTGTATTGTGAACTGAGAGCCAACAAACTGTTTCAGGGCCCAATGTGATGGGAACAAGGTGGGACTGGAGGTCTCAGCCCAGAACGGACTCCAGAGAGGTCAACAGAGCCATGAGAGCTGCTGTGAGGTGACATTGGCCTCGTATCACCACTGGGCCTCCATAACAGGGAGACCAGACCAGCTCACCAGCAGTGGGCTCTAGCTAGAAAGCCAGTTCATGATCCTAGTGACAGGCCCAAGCCACTTAGACTCCAGCAGATGCCAGCCAGAATGGTGCATTGCATCTCCTCACCTTTATCCCAGCTGTCATATTTGGGAGGAGCAGGAGAAGGAGAGGAGGAATCGAGACTATGCAGTTATACCAAAGAGACTGAGTCTCTCTGAATCCGAGAAGCCCCAAGAATGGGGCTTCAGTTTTGAATGGGACTGAATTAAGTTTGGCTCTGCACTCCGACCCCTGCCGTCAGTTGTTTTAGGAAGAATAAAGCAGCACTGTTTTCCTTGCATAGCCTCAGAGGTAGTGTGAGAGGCTTTGTGACCTTGCTGCAGTGATGATGGTGAGGACTTCTGGGGGTGGGATCAGATAGACTCGAGTTCATACCCGTTACATGGTATGCACTTGCTTGAGCTGGCCTCTTTCACTTAACATAAGGTTTTTTTAGACCAATTCATGGAGTGTGTATCAGTAAATTATTATTGCAGTTTATTCAGGAGTACTGTATTGTGTAGACACAACTCAATTTAGCCATTCACTTGTTGGATATTTGTATGCTGTTATGAGTAAAGCTGTTAAATACATTGATAGGGCAGTATTTGTGTAGAGATGTGCTATATTGCTCTGGCTGGTCTCAAAATCCTGGCCCTAAGAGGTCCTCTTGGTGACTGAGCTTGGTGGCTCTGAGCTTGGAGGCTCAGCCTGTCATCCCAGCACTTTGGGAGGCCAAGGTGAATGGATTGCCTGAGCCCGTGGGTTTGAGACCAGCCTGGGCAACTTGGTGAGACCTCGTCTCTACAATAAATAAAAAATGAGCTGGGTGTGGTAAAGCGCGCCTGTAGTTCTGGCTACTTGGAAGGCTGAGGCAGGAGGATCGCCGGAGTGCAGTAGGTCAACGCTGGGGTGGCTGTGAGTGTGCCACTGCACTCCAGCCTGGGCAATAGAGTGAAACTCCAACTGAAAAAACAAAACAGAACAAAACAAAAAGAAGAAAAGAGGTCCTCTGCCTTGGCTTCCTAAAGTGTTAGTATTACAGGCATGAGCCATGGTGCCCGGCCTATCCCTGCCTTTTCTACAAGGCAACTGAGGCTCTTAGTTAAGTGAGTTGCACAGGTTGCACACCAAGGAAGCAGTGGAGCCGGACCTCTGCCACAATCTCTGGGCACCTGATTTGTCTTCCAGGCTAGAGTGAAGTGGCATGCTCACAGCCACTGCAGCCTTGACCTGCTGGGCTCAGGGGATCCTTCCACCTTAACCTTCCAAGTAGCTGAAACCATAGGCATGTGCCACCATGCCCGGCTAATGTTTTTGGTTTATTGTAGAGATGAAGTCTTGCCAAATTGCCCAGGCTGGTCTCAAACCCCTGGACTCAGGCAATCCTCTTGCCTCCGCCTCCCAAAGTGCTGGAATGAAAGGCATGAGCCACCGTGCTCGGCTTGGAGTCATTCTTGTTTGTATTTTTAAGTCAACTTTTTTTTTTAATAATTGTAAAAGTAATACATAAAAAACAGAGAAGCACAAACAAGGAAACTATAATCACCAGTATTTTCACTGTACAGAAATATCCAGAAATTAAAAAAATATGTAAAACGTGACAAAAATAAATGGACATCCTAGGTTTTTTGCTCATTATTATACCACGAAAATTTCTATATGTACTTCGATATTCTTCCAAAACAAGATTTTTAGCACTAAAATACCACCTGAAGTTTCTTTCTTTCTTTCTTTCTTTTTTTTTGAGATGGAGTCTCACTCCATTGCCCGGGCTGGAGTGCAGTAGCACACTCACCGTCACCCCAGCGCTGACCTGCTGGGCTCCGGCGATCCTTCCTCCTCAGCCTTCCAAGTGGCCGGAACTCCAGGTGTGCACTACCACACCCGGCTCATTTTTGATTTATTGTAGGGATGAGGTCTTTCCAAATTGCCTGGGCTGATCTCGAACCCGCGGGCTCAGGTAATCCACTCGCCTTGGCCTCCCAAAGTGCTGGGATGATTGGCTGAGCAACTGAGCCCAGCCTCCATCTGAGGTTTCTTAAAAAGCTTCCAATTTTTGGAACTTGAGTAGTATGTTTAAAACACATTGTGGGAAAATAAAAAAGTCTCAATAAACCTTAAGATACTCACCATTCTGCAATAACCCCAGTTGGCATTTGGTATTCATCCTTACTATATTTAAAGCATTTCCACACGCATCCGATATTCTTCTGCTAGAGGAGTTCTCACTTCGCTGGTTAGGTGGTTCCTTGGGGCTTACAAGGAAGGGAAAGAACAAGGAGGTGACAGCAATGGATATTGCAGAAAGTCTGGGGAGGACAGGATATCCGACTTCCACGTCCACTCCCTTCCTTACCTGGATCTTCAACAGTGGCATGCTCAGTGAGATTTCTAGAGCCAGGCAACCGTCACCTGTGGCTCAAACGACCCCTGAGAACTGCTCAGAAAGGCACCTTTTTTTACTGTGACACTCACAGTAAGTTTTTCTCTACTGACATAACATACCACATTTCTCTGGCGAAGCATTAAAGGAGGTGGTTGACTATTCAGGGGCCATAATTGTGGAAAAATAAGTATCTTTCCACAGTGGAATCCACAATGCGGCATGATGCCTTCATGGCCAGATGCTTTTTTCCACACAGGAAAGAACACAATTCCTGTCTCCCGCTTGCTCAGGCACTGGCTCAGGAAGGGATTCCTCTGTCTTATCTGGACTGTTATTGCTCATATTTGCAAAACATATTTCTGAAAAAATCTCATATCCACAGTAACTGCTACAAATCAATAAGAAAAATACAAACAGTCCAATAATAGAGTGGACAAATACTTAAACAGATATTTTACAAAAGAAGATACATAAATGACCAACAAGCCGATAAAAATGTTTGTTATTATTAGCCACCAGGGAAAAGCAAGTTAAAATCACAATGAGATATGACATACCACCAGAGTCATTTAAGTAAAAACGGCTGACCATAACAACGTGGG